AGGTGCACTGATGAAGTGGGTCGAGGGTTCCTCTTGGTGCACGACGATGGTCAACCTCAAGTATCCAGGCAGTTCCTAGAGCAGGGGTGTCCAACTCCAGGCCTGGAGGGCCGGTGTCCTGATCTCACTCTGGGTCAACGCACCTGAATCACATGATTAGTTCGTTACCAGGCCTCTGGAGAACTTCAGGACATGTTGAGGAGGTAATTTAGCCATTTAAATCAGCTGTGTTGGATCAAGGACGCATCTAAAACCTGCAGGACACCGGCCCTCCAGGCCTGGAGTTGGACACCAATGTCCTAGAGGATCAAGGAATTGAACCCATTGACTGGCCTCTGTGGCTGCCAGACCTAAATCCAACAGAACACCTCGGGAACTTTATGTTTCAGTTTATCCACCAGGTTGCACCTCAGACTGTTCAGGAGCTGGGTGATGCCTTGGTCCAGCTCTGGGAGCAGAGCCCCAGGACACCATCCATCATCTCATTAAGAGCACGCCTGGACCGTATCAGCCATACATACAAGCACATGAGTGACATCAAGACCCATCGAGATCTGATGTGTTTCAACATGTTGCTTCATTTTTTTAAGTGTATAGTAGATTAGGGCTGTGCGATATGACGAAAATCTCATATCCTGATATAAGACATCTATCGTCCGATAACGATATAAATCACAACAATGTAACATTTTCTGTAAGTTCTGTGAATCTCGACTTGTGTGAAGTGTTTCCAGCTGCGCGTCGTGTAGCTGGAGTCGAGTGTTTTAACCGATGCATGAAACTACACATTTTTAGACATAAGTTGTAATGGCGCCGTTTTCTTTGTATTTATTACACGGCGTGCTGCGGGGAGAAGCCTGTTCTAATGTTTGAGTCTAAGGTTTATTTTTTAGCACCTGGTGGCTCTTTTCTACTTCTCACCCGTAAATAATCTGCTCTTTCACGTGATTCAGTTTATTTTGAAAAGTCTCAACAGGATCTTGAGCTTTATTGTGAAAAGTTTATGTGGAACATAAACAAGCGGACACACCATGGTGTTACCGTCGTTGTTGCTAACGACAACGCATAAAAACAGGCGCTTGTCCGTCTGTAGTGTGGTTATATTAAATATAAGAGAAAGAGAGAACTTTATTAATATAACCACTACAGTGACATCAGAACAATGAACAAATATTACCGTAAACAGTTTATTTTGCGACACCACGAAACAAACGATAGCGTAAAATGAAACGATAGACGTTTTTATATCGTCATCTGATATACATCGTTATATCGAACAGCACTATAGTAGATGGTTATAGTTGTGCCTATGATGAAGTGCTTTTTCAAAGTCTCCATTCCACATACAGCACAGACACAAATGCTGCCACCTACACTGAATGTGAACATCAAACACATGCAGACAAACGTGACACTGCAGTGTCAGGGTGGATGAAGAAAGCAACATGATACATACAGAAAACAACAGTGTTAGGATTTATCAGGAATGACTTTCAAAAGGAGATCTGCGCTGCTCTCTCTGGATAAATACGGCATCTGTGTCTTAATCCTCGGAGCCCTTTGCACAGTGCACACAGATTTGTATCTGTATCTATAAGAAACATCTTCCTTCACCGTCCTCTCATCTGTACACACTGCCCTGCTGTTTCACAGGGAAGCAGGAACCTGAGCTTGCACCGGATTATTCTGCAAAGGCTGACATCACTCCCTCAGGTCTGCTGATTTTCGAGCTGATCATTCTTCCTCTTGGCAGAAAGCTGGTTATCACTGAAGTGAACCTGCTGCATCTTTGTCAGTAAATTATTATTATTGTTGGTAGATCACCCTGTGACTGCAGCACCGCATTAACTTTGAGGCAAAATCTGTCAGCATTTATAGCTTAAAATGGAAACTGCAGTGCAATCGAACAGCCAGGGACATGTGCATGGCTGCTGCGTGTGCTGCTAACACCACCCTGTACAGCAGGCTTCTTCAAAATGTCCAACTTGGGCAAACAGACCAACATCTGCCTCTGGATGAAGCACTTCCTGACTAACAGTCTGGATGAGCACCAATCACGCCCCCGCTCTAACACTGGAGCCCCACAAGGTTGTTGTTAAGCCCTTTCCTGTACACACATGACTGCACCCCATCACATAACACCAGTGTCACGGTCAGATTTGCTGATGACACATCGGTGGTGAGGCTGATCTGCCTACAGGGAGGAAGTGCAACACAGCTGCAGTGTGATTTAAAGACAATAACCTTCCACTCAATATGAAGACAACAAAGGAAGTGATCATCTGCTTCAGGAGAAAGAAGGATGTACACACCAGTGCACATCAGTGGCAAAGAAGTGGAACTAGCATGGACTAGAAAAACCAACCTGCTGCTGGGAAAGGCAGCTATAGTTAATGAGAATATACCAACTCCCACCTCACAGCCTTCAGTGGCATCTTTACTTCAGTGTCTCAGCACATCACAGACTACCTACAGACCCCTGGCACTTAACATCACCAAGACCAAGGAACTCATCTTGGACTTCAGGCTGTGCCGCCCTGCACATAAACGGTGAATGTGTAGAGCAAGTGGAGGCAAGAAGACCCAGCAGCAGCTACACTTCCTCAGGAAGGAGCAACTAAACACTGCTGGTGACCTTCTACAGATCCACCATCGAGGGCCTGCTGACCTATGCAGTGACAGTGCAGCACGCCAGCTGCACGGAGGCAGACAGGACGAGACTGCAGAGGGTGGTGAACACAGCACAAAGAATCATCCACTGCCCACAGCCCTCCTCGTCTGCCGTCTATAACTCCCGTTGTCTCAGCAGGGCCAGAAACACCCTGCCCTCCTTACCCACCCCGGCTACCATCTTTTTAACCTACTGCCCTCTGGCAGGCGCTTCAGATCCATGTGGGCCAGAACAGACTCAGGAACAGCTTCTTCCCCAAAGCTATCACCAAACTCAACCTTGCACCAAAGTAATCTGCACTGAAATATCTCTGAACTCATGTCTGTTTTAAACTGTCGGTGTCACTCTTGTGCTGTGTATTTATATTATTCTTATGGTTATTTTATTATAGGCTTTCTTATAATGTGCTAGCATATGTGCACTTTTATGGAGCTGCTTTTTAATCTTGTTATACTGCGTATAATGACAATAAAGGCTTTCAGCCTCCACTCCTGTCTCGATACCCACCAGTCTGCTTACAAAGCAAACCAGCCTACAGAGGATACCATCACCATCAGCCTCCACAGAGCACTGAGCCATCTGGAGAACAGGAAGCGCTCCGTGAGGATGCTCCTCGTCGACTACAGTTTAGCGTTTAACACAAAAATCCCAAAAATCAACGAACTGGACCACCAGAACATCCCCTCTGCCACCTTCCCCTGGGCCAAAGACCTCCTCACCAACCGGCCCCAGTCTCCAACCCACCCGACCACCGTCATCATTAAGTATACCGATGATACCACCGTGGCTGGTCTCATCTCTAACAGACATCAGACAGTGTGCAGGGCAGAGGTAGAGAATTTGTCCTGCTGCTGCTCAGAAAACCACCTGAAACTGAACATCCAACCAAAGAACTCATCATGGACTTCAGAAGGCACAGACGAGTCCACTCCCTCTCATTAAAAATGGAAAACAGGTGGAAACTGTCTCCACCTTCAGGTTTCTCGGGCACCTACATCGCCACCAACCTCAGTTGCACTTCCTCCGTGTCCTGAGGAAGAAAAACTTGGACCAGGAGCTGCTGGCCTTCCACCACTCCTCAGTGGAGAGCGTGCTCTCCTCCTGCCTGGTGTTGGTACACAGGGGCCAAAAGAGAACAAGGAGGCTGCGCAGAGGCTCATTAACACTGACCAAAATCAATGGCTGCCCGCTGCTACCACTCGAGGTCATCATCAGCTCCTCCTGTCTCAGGAAAACTAGGGCTGTTACAGGTGACCCCTCACATCCCACTCACCACCTGTTTGACCCCCTGCCCTCCAGACGCACCTCAGGTCAATCAGGGGCCACACCTCCAAACGACCTAACTCACACAGGACAACTCCTGAACAGTTTTTACTCTCCAGCCACGTCCACGCTGAACTCAGAAACCACTACTTGACTGTTTTTAATGTTAATACACAGTCTTATTCTCCAATTTATTATGTGCATCAATGCTACTTTCTAATTATTACCTTTGCATACATTTATATTCCTTTGTTGTATTTATGCATGAGTCTGTATCTCATCTTTTTCGTTGCTCATCTTGAAATCACGCTGGCCAGCTCGCCGCTTTTATTTTGAAATCACTTCTCTGCTGCAGCACGTGGGAGCTAGCTTGACTACATTACTTTAAGTGGAGGCTAACAAAACTATCATACAGCAGAGACTAAACACACAAAGCAAAAGAATACAAATGATTATTAGACGACATGTGACAGAAACAACGTGCATTAAAGATATGAAGTGTTTTTAAAATGTTGAAATTTATGCTGTTTTCTGAATGACTTCCTCTTACCTGCGAACCTGAGACAAAGGTAAGCTTTTGCGTCTGCTCCGACCCGGATGAAGATCCGTTTTAATGAAACTATAGTTTCAGAGCGAAACCTGCGAAGTTAAAGCGGAGACGGAAAAAAGAAAGTAAAAATACACATTAGAAAGTCCAAAAACAGCTTTTCGCCCAGCAGCGACCAACCGCGTCTGAAACCTCCAGCACAGTGCACGCGCCAACACGAAACGACTTCCGGTGTGTCAGATTAACTGGTTTTTATATTAACTGGTTATGTTTGTTTACACAGGCTTCTTTCATCGTTTTTAAAGAGTAGTCGCATGAAGATTAAATACCTCAGCACAGAAACAAAAGTTGCACTCAACAGTTCATCGTTATGTGTCTAGTTGGGAAGTTTATTAACCAGCATTATTATCATGCATTGTTTATTATAAGTCTACACACTCATACCTTAAAAACACCTCGGAATATAATATGATGCGTTTACAGAAGTCAATCAATTAATTTCTCATCTTAATTTACATGATTTTCACTGTTGAGGCAACACACAGCTGTGCTCAGGAGAAGCAACGTGTTGCTGCAACGTGTTGCTGCAACGTGTTGCTGCAACGTGTTGCTGCAACGTGTTGCTGCAACGTGTTGCTGCAACGTGTTGCTGCAACGTGTTGCTGCAACGTGTTGCTGCAACGTGTTGCGGTTTCTCTACCCTAATGTAGAATCAGCATAAAGAAAGAAGTTGTTATTAAAAGACACATTTTTCTCTAAGTTTTTACTGTTGCGTGTATCAGACGGCTGTGCGTCAGACTGTTGATTGTGCAGTAAAAACATGGTTACAGATTGTTATAGACTTCTTTAACGTGGAAGAGAAGCTTACCTGAAAAGGGGGGGGATGTCTCTGTAGACGATCTACCCAAGAATATTTCTTCATATATATTTTTCTTTCTTTGCTTCCTCCACAATGACGGGCATAACAACATGAGTTAAGAGTAAACTGTACTCGGAGACGTGAGGACCAAACTAACATTAGTTAGTCGTTTCCCTGTAAAGTGTTTTTCTACTAGAACATCTCACTCACCAATTCAAATATAAGCACCTTTTCTAACATTGTCACACATTCAGTCCCATTAATGCACCAGAGAGCAATTTGAGGTTAGTATCTTGGAGACTGGAGTAGCCGCGGATCAAACCACTGGCCTCGCACTGGTAGGTGACCTGACCCAGCTCCTTGTGCTGAACTTACCAACAATCATTAGTTCTGAACAGGTCACATTTGCAAACGAAGTTTAATGAACAACCACCAGCATTTATAAAAAAAAAAGAAAAAAAAAGAAGTTTTATTTAAAACAAAACACTTCTTCAATATATTAAAGTCTGTGGTTGCAACTGACGTTTCTTGTGATGAATCAGCCAGTAAACTCCAATGACGACCTAACAAAGCCTAAGTTTCCCGTGTGTGGCGCTGTTAGGTCATCCATGTTTTCATAAACCTTTTTCCAAGACTTTCCATGGCCCAATCCATTGGGCCCTCAGTGTGGGGAAGCATCCCTGTATGGAACTGACCTCCCCAGCCCAGTGTTCAATCAGTGCTGCTAGTTTCAGTCACTGTGCACATGTCCTGTTTCTAAGGTTGGAAACCTGCAGTCAGCTGAGACGGAAGAAGTCACCTGATGATGATGAAACGTTTCTCCCACTGAAACGTCCACATGAACAGAATCAACCTTTGGATTTTCTTACCTGGATGATCGAGCATCAAGACGTCTCCTAGTTCTGTCCAACACAACCTGAATAAATCAGAGTGCAGCACTTCGGTCATTTCTCTACAACAAATATACCAACAGGTAATCAGATGTAGCTCTCAGCACTGGATCCTTCAGGCTGCGATAAGCATGACATGAAACTACATCGATGTAAAGGCACATGCGTGATGCTAACAGCACCGTGTGACTGACAGTGGTGCTCAGGTGAAACAGGTTCTGTTGACAGGTGTGTTTGAGGATCACAGTTTGTGATGCTGTGTTTTTATACCTGTAGATGTTTCTGTAATAGTCCACCTTTGCTTTCAACGCTATCACACTCTGGTTGTTTCATTCACGCAGTCAACTTTATGATGGAGGAGTTTAGTGAGTCACCATCAGCAGATGGAGCATGTTGCAGAGCGTCACTAGAAACTGTTGAGTAAATATTGGAAGAAGGTGTGTCCAACAATAAGACTGCATTCATTTCTTACATTTATTCATACACTTGATCCTTTACTAAACAGACTGTAACGGGGAACAGTCATCGATCCTGAACAGTCACTCAGCAAAACCAATAAATAATAAGTTTAACTGACAGAACCAAATAATTTAGCTTCACTTTGAGAGATTTCTAGATTATTGTAACGATGAACGATCCTCAGGATTATCAGCCTGTGTAAAACTACAGGATGACATGCAGGCTCTGTGGGACAGGTGATGATACCTCAGAGGCAGAAACACTCATCTGTGGAAGGAGCTGGGTCTGCTGGGAGTCACGCTGGGGGCCACCGTGGGTTTGTGACTTAGAAAAGTACCAACTTCAACAACTTATTCACAAAGCAGAGAACTTCCTCTAGAACACAAACGTATCAGTGGATACAGCACAGAGGGCTCAGTCACTGATGTATTCCTCTATGGTCAGGTCTTCGTCCTCTAGGAGGACTTGATTTAAGGTGGGCTGGGGTTGGCTGGCTGGCAGACCCTCCTCAGCACCACCTGCCTCTTTCACCTCCTCCTTCTCCTCCACCTCACTGTCCATTTCCAGCTCGCCTGATTCTTTGTCTGTCAGAGCCTCTGGTTTTAATCTGGACACACAAGAGAAAACCAAAGATCAGAGGTCAAAGATCAGGTTAAAACGTGAGGTCACTGACACGGGACACCACTATGATGTGTTACAGTATCCACGGTAACAGGAGCTCAACTAGAACTTTAAAGAGACAAAAGAAGAAAACTCTTAAAACATGTACATTTGTAACAATAGCAAATATGAACACTGCAGCAGCTGTAGTAGAACACACAAAGTTCTGTTGGCATTATTACTGTTCTGTCAGAATACATCGTTACTTTGTTAAAACAACAGAAACATTTGTTCTTCGGTCTGATCACAGTTATGATGACCTCAGCCTGCTGGAGCCACACAAACAGAGCTGATAAAACAAGCGCACCACGTCCAACCTACTGACATGTTCCAGGAAACGAAAGAAAGAACAGCAACAAGGACCAAACAGCTGGTGAAAGAAAACAGCCATCCAGCCCTCAGTCCAATCACTCCTGTTCTACCTGCTCTCCTGCAACTGTGTAGTGACAATAAAGACATCCTGTGCTGTTTGACAGTAAATGACAGAGTGTGGTACCTGCTGGAGAATCTCCTCAGTGACATCTGCCCCACATCCTGGATAAATGTGATTTGGTCTGTAGGAACAGAGCAGCACAGACATGAGTCCACAGCTGTGCTCAGCACATTAACATCACTAACATTACATCAGGTATGTGAGTGATGCCTCAATTCACTGCAACAACTACCACTGACTCAACATGTGATTCTCACAGTAATGATGCTCGGCTCTGAGCTCTGTAAGGAGGCCACACAGCTCTGTGACAACATCAGGAATCATTTTCACACGAGTCACAAAAATAATTAAATAAATCATACTGAGTGATGGATACGGTGACAGGTGGAAACAACAAACCTGCTTTGCTCTAAGGCAAAAACTACAACCAGCCCAGCTGAGCATCACTGCTGCACCTCTCTGTGACTGGAACTGAGCAGTGACATGGATGCAATGGAGGGCTTTAAGCAGCTGGTTAAAAAGATCGAACAACATCCCAGGAAGGATGTTTGTTCACGGTCAGCGTGCTCAGGTAACAATACTGTGAAGTTCCTTCAGGTATTGTTAAACTGTTATACTGAAAGTTTCCAGTGAAAACAGGCTTGACTAACGCTGTGTCACTACTATTACACTACATGTGTCACTGCTACACTGCAGTGCATCTGGAAAATGCTGACAGCGCATGCATGCATAGGCTGATTACCCTCTCACTGCGGCTACAGAAGGAGAAAGGAGAGAGACTTTGGGAATGATGGGATCGTTATACGTCAAGAGACTAGAAACTGATACCTCTGTGATGCAGAGGGACAGCTGTGAATTTGTTTGAATGGAACATGCACCTGTGTAATATGTAGTATGTGTAAGTAAAACAAGGCGTTGTGTATTTTGGAATATGTGAATGTGTTGGTTTCCCTTGCGAGAAAGTATTTAAAAAAAAAAAAAGTGGAACAACTGGAGCGCTGTCAGTGCTGTTTGGATCCTCCGAGTGATGCTGCAGAGTCACACTTCTAATGAGGTGCTGTGGCACAAACGAACATCTGTCTGCAAACTCCACTCCTTAATAAAACAGGTTTTCCCTGAAAGTACCCCCCGTGTACCCGTGGGCCTTACCTTGGTTCCTCATAGGGTTGGTGAGTTTGGCCAAGTATGGAAGCAGCTCAGTCTGCAGGCTGAGCGGAGTCAGGCAAAAGCTCCGGAACAAGGACTGGGCAGCCACACAGTTCTCCCAGTGCTGCCAGGGACAACAGCAGAGTTAGCACACCATCACTGGTCACTATGTGCAGTTTGGAATGATTTGCATCAAACTGCATCCCCTGAAAAATACACTCTTATTGTACAGGAGCAATGATCCAAATAAGAAACATCACTATGACGCTCCAAACTTCACAGGGGACTGAAGCCGTGTGTGGCTGAGAGGCTGTTTCAGAGAGAGCCACTGCAGGGCTGTAAGGGAGCGAGTGTTTGGTGAAACTGTCCAACTGAAAAGTGTACATGGACTGACAGATCTGAGGGACCACAAACTCTGCTCAACTGATGGCAGTGAGCTTTGGGAGGAGCTGGGCTCCATCACGTCTCCACCTCACCGGAGCAGCCACAGAGGGCTTTCAGCACCATCGTCCAGACGCGAGGTAAGGTGGCGGAATTTGTCGGTGTTCTTGAAAAAGGAAACGTGACATCTCTGATGAGTGCATCCAGGCGCTGGCCCTTTTGGCACCACCGTTGCCACGGCAGCGTGAAGAGAAAAAGAAAGAGGGCGACGCCGTGCAGCTGTGCCTTCATAGACCCAGGCCGTGCCCACACCTCCACCCGCTCGCTGCATGTCTGTCCAGGTCACTGGGCACCAGCCAGCATGCTGACACTTAAAATCCCCTGCAGACAGCTCCACAGGATCCCAGTATCCAAACCCACTGGCCTAGAAAACACATCCCACCTACTGCCACTCAGGGTCCCCCAGTCACAGACAGTTGGTCCCCCAGAGGAAGAGGACGGCCTAGCATCTCCCACAAGAGAAGGTCCTCAGCGGTGTCCAGCCACATGACACCTGGCCAAACATGTGCCGCCCATGCATGCATAGGCTGCACATCCCCTGGACTGCAACACCCGGTTCTGCCACAAGAGGGAGCCAAACACCTTCTGTGGCATTGGGTCATCTCTCAACAAGAATACAGAGACAGTAGGATCATGTTGCACTACAGTGGGTTGGGAGGACCCCCCCCATTTACAACAAATATCCTCGTTGTTATCACAGAGAGCGATCCAGGAAGCAACCCGAGAGCAGACCAACGCAGCTCGTATTCAGCATCTCAGTTCATGAAAAGAGCACACCAGGGTGTGGCTCACCTGATGGCTCTGCATCTGACAACGAACTACCAAAGAGTGTCCTGGAGCTACACACCATCTCCTTCATAGCAAGCGCTCTAAATGTCTCCCACTCAGAGGACACCTGCACATACTGGGCTTAACAGCATCTTCACTGGCAGTCGTCCCACTAGGCGACTGCAGCAATAGCTGCCATCAAGCCTTTATGATTAGTCACAGCGAGTCTTTCACACCGATGTGGAGACGTTTAGGCCAACTGTTCCTTACCGTTTGAATTCAGCCACATTGGAGGGTTGTTAAGCATGAACAGCCTGTTTATGGTAACTGGTCTGTATTTATATAGCGCTTTACTAGTCCCTAAGGACCCCAAAGCGCTTTACATATCCAGTCATCCACCCATTCACACACACATGCACACACTGGTGATGGCAGCTACATTGTAGCCACAGCCACCCTGGGGCGCACTGACAGAGGCGAGGCTGCCGGACACTGGCGCCACCGGGCCCTCTGACCACCACCAGTAGGCAACGGGTGAAGTGTCTCGCCCAAGGACACAACGACCGAGGCTGTCCGAGCCGGGGCTCGAACCGGCAACCTTCCAATTACAAGGCGAACTCCCAACTCTTGAGCCACAATCGCCCTTGTTTAGCTTCATGCCGATGGGGTTTGGGCCTTTTTAAAAACTGAAGGTGCTGGAGTGTCTTCATCAGTCATTCAGAGGTGAACCTGGTTTGTTTCTGACATTCTCGTTCAGTTTCCTGGTAGAGAGCAGATTTCACGTGTAAGCCATGCAAAGCACACCACCACCACCACGTTTGACTGGTGTGATGATGTTTTATCAAATGCCATGTTAGTGCTGCACCAGCTGTGACTCAAACCTGTCAAAATAAACTGAACTCTTCAGTTCACAGAATATTTTTCCAGACGTTTCGTTGTCACTGTGGGCTTTGGGCAAATACTTTCCCACAGAGGGCCAGATATGGTTTGGGTGGTTTATTGTTCCCTTCCTACCAACAGCTGAGCTGCAGTGATGGCTCACATCATGTTACTCTGTGACCAATCCCTCTTACTGAGCCTGGTGCAGCCATCAATGGACTGCTTCTAAATCCAGGACACTAAGCAATGGTTTTTAAACTCAGTGCCAAGAAGTTCTACACAAACATATTTTTGTTATGTTCCTGATGTCAAACATGTGATCATCAGAGGACAAAAACAGGGTCTGTCCTGCTGTTCAGACAGACTAAAATATCCCCCCATGCTTCAGTTAGAAGGTTCTCCTCCTGCTTGGATCCACTTTCATCAAAATGTTTGCATTTGTTAGTTTGGAGAGACGAGCTATTTGAAAGAAGAAGTGTGGCTCTATGAATTGTGGGTAAAATTATGGCTGCAAAATATGGGCTCAGCAGCAGATGAAGAGGAAGGATGAACTCTATCATCCCTCCTACACTCAGTGTGTCTCTGACTGAAGCTGACGATGAAGCATGAAACTGGAACAATGTCCTGGTATCAACTTTGAATGGTGCCTGTAGCTGAAAACACGTAGAAGCATTTAGAGTCGCGTCATGAAAATACTGTCAGATTTTACTGACACAAGCTGAATAGTTTAAATAGCACAAAAGAGAAAAGTCAGAGCACAAAAAGAAGCTGATGAGTGAAGTTTGGAAGCAGATGTTGAACCAGTTACTGATAACTACAGAATCCATTTCATGAAGACAGTCCAGTGTAAATTCATGCTGCTCATTTGAAATGTCACAGGTAATAAAGTAACACTAAATGTTTAACAGCTGAGCTCCAGATGCTGTGACATCTGATCTCAGTCACTCACCTTCCTGTTGACGAGCAGCCAGCTGGGTTTGTGCAGGGCTCTGAAGCCAACAGACGCCAGCTGAGAGTTGGAGTGAAGGAGGCCTCTCGTGGCCACTGAAGACCCATAATCCCCCAAAACGCTGCGATTCTGGAAACAGTACAGACGGCCATTCATACAGGAGACACAGATACAGCACACGCAGCAGTACACTACAGGCCACTTACAGCTCTGCTGTAGCAGCAAAAACAGAAGTTTCCACTCTTGGACCTGCGAGCAGGTGTGATCCCGCCGCACTGAGGGTTAGGGCATTGTGACCTCGCCTGTTGGTTGTGTGCTTTTCACCATCATCCTCTTGGTGTTTTAAAACAACATGTGAGAACAAAGGAGGGATCTGAGGACCAGCGTTTGCTCCTTGGCATGTTTATCTCTCTGAAGTAACTTACTTCTAACTGTGTGTTGTATTTAACACAGTTTAACCAGCTGAGGCTTCTTTACAGCTTTTATCTTTCTGCAGTCAGAGTCGCACTCCGCCGACGTTCAGGTTGTCGTCATAGCAACGTGTCCAAGCATCCTACAGTGGAATTAATATGGAAGACGAGCGCTACCAAAAAGGTGGACGTTGAATCACGGATACACCTGCTGCTCAGTCTGTGGGTTTCGTCGCACTCGGGGGAAAATTCAAACTCGGGCAGTTCTCATGACTCGTCAACTGACGCTACTGACCAGCCAATCAGTGGCATACAGTCTGATGTCACATTTTAGTGCCTGCTCAGGTACTAAAAAAAGACCTGGGACCAGGTACTGTGGCCTAATGGAAAACCCTGAAGAATGTGGTGAACCGTGCCGAGTCGATCCGGCCTTTAGGTGAAGAGGCGATACGGGTTCTTCCCTTGGTTTTCTGTAATATGAACAGTCCAGATTATTGGACCCAAGATGTTCACAGTTAAACTCCAGCAGAGACGACAGACGGATCAAACCGCTGCCCGAGCCTGGTGGCTTGTGGGTAGAAACGGTCCCCGAATCTGCTGCTGTGGATTCTGCTGTAGCTCCTGCCTGACAGGAGCGTAGATGGTTTGGGTGGCTGGGATCAAACAGGATCCACTGGGCCTTCCTCCCACAGCGCTGCCTGCAGAGGTCCTGGATGCTGGTAGCTCAGACCTGGTGATATACAGCACTGATCTGACCACCCTCCATAGAGCTTGGTGGTCCAGAGCGTTTCAGGTGCCACAGCAGGTCAGCTACAGCCAGACAGAATACTTTGCTGGTGCATCGACAGAGTCCATGCTAAATCTCAGCCGATGCAGAAACAACAGCTGCTGTTTCACTGTTTTTGTGACTACATCCACGTGATGTGAGAAGGTCAGATCCTCACTGATGTTAATCCCCAGGAACCATCCGACTCTCTCCACCTCTGTCCCCTCAGTGTAAATGGGGGTGTCCCCTCCACCCTGCAGTTTTCTGTGGTCCACAATGAGCTCCTTGGTCTTGCTGACGTTGAGCAGCAGGTTGTTGTCCTGACACCACGATGCCAGGGCACTCACCTCTGCTCTGTAAGCACTCATCTCCACCTGGACCGGCTGATTGTCAGTTTAGCCATAAGTCAACAAGAAGCTTCTGGTAGGAGAAGATGTGACGCTGCTGATCCGTGATCTGTCTGTCAGGAAGTCCAGGATCCAGGTGGATAAGGAGTCACTGATGTGCAGATTCCAAAGTTTGATGCTGAGCCTGGATGAAATTATAGTACTGAAAGCAGAGCTGCAGCTAATAAACAGCATGTGTGCTCCTATGGTCCAGGTGGGAGAGGGCCGTGTGCGGAGCGACTGATCTGTTTGTCCTGTAGGCAAAGGACTGAGTGTAGCAGAGAGTGGAGATGTGAGCTTTCACTATACGCTCAAAGCACCTCAGGACTAGGGATGGGTGTCGAAACCCGGTTCTTGTTGAGAACCGGTTCCCACTGTTTCAGTTCCTTGGAATTGTTTGCCATTCGATTCTCTTATCGATTCCAGTCGCCCTGAATGACGTCACCGCGTTGCGGAGCGTCATTTACCTGGCAGGAAACACGGCGGCTCAAACGCTCAAAAGTTTGGTTACACTTTATGAGAACGGATGACAACAGGGCAACTTGCAATACTTGCAAAGCAGATATTTCATTTAAGGGAGGAAACACTACGAATATGCAAAAGCATTTGCTCACAAAACACACGATGACCTTAAATGAATGTCGTGTTTTTAATTCTGGACTCGTGAATCTCAGCCCGGCAGCAGCGGTAACGTTTGCACGTCCTCTCCCGTTAATGCGGCAGGTAAATAATCAACTAACAGTGCATATTATGTTAGCGCGATCTGCCTTATTACAAACCTGCCATTACTGTGCAGCAGGAGAATATTTATTTTATTATTTTACATTTACAATGTTTTTCCTGGGGACCCTGTGACACCCATTGAAGAGCCGCATGCTGGATCTCTTAAGATCTCACTGCTGGGTTTGTAAGGCCATGTTACTCCTACATTTCTATCTTGTTCAAAGAGAAGACATAAAACAAAGTTCTGAGCTAATCGACCTTAGTGTTCTCCTTTTTAAACTCACATTAGGTTTCTTGGGGATGATGGTGGTCCATCAAATGAGGGGACTAAAGACAAAAGCAGTGACATGTCTGAAGACAGCTGCCAGTTCATGAGTGCGTGCTTTGAAAGCACCATGTTATCTGGCCCGGAGCTTCCTGATTCGCCGAAGGCTGGTCAGGATGTTGTGGCTGAGCGACGGAGCGTCTACATGCTGGGAGAACATTGGCAGAGCTTTCTTTAGTTTGGCTTTGTTGAAGTCGCCCGTCACAGTGGAAGCCCCTTTAGGGTGTAGTGCTTCCTGCTGGTCGATGACATCATACAGCTCGTCGCGTGGCAGCGTTGCGTCGGCGTGGGAGGGGATATAAACAGCAGTACAGAACACAGCTGTAAACTCTCCGATCAAGTGTCCAAGATCAAACTGTACACCCAAACACCATCGCTCAGTGAGTGTGCACACGCCACCTCCTCCCAGCGTCCCGACACCTTCCTCTCCTCGCAGTGAGCGGAGATGCCCGCAGCAACAACAGCCAAGGCCAGTGAAGTAAGCCATGTCTCCGTGCAAATAAAGACAGCTTGTTTTCCAAAGTTTGGACTTTAGCTAGAAGAATGCCGTCTGTTCATCAGCTATCAGGCTCTTTTCCAATCACGTAGCCGAGACAAGCCTCCATTCCAGTCTGCTGGTGTGGTCCCAGATAGTGAATGCTGTGGGCTGTGTAAGAGTCTCTCTGTCGTAGGTGATCAGTGCATCACGTTTCCAAAACATTAAAAAAAAAAAATGTTAAAAACATACGAAAAATGCAGAAATGAGGAGGACGCCAAGTAACAGCCAGCATCCTCACCGGCACCATGTTGTTCATTCATTTAGTTCCCTTTTGAAGTGTTAGAGTCTAAACACTCAGCACAGAGATGAGCACATCTCCGGGTTCTGATCTCTGTACTGCCCACTGCCGGGACTCCAAGGATCAGGGACTGAGCTCCTGCATCGGGCTGCTGGTTCCTCACATTGACATGTTACAATGATATGAAATAACAACCACAGAAATGAGAATGATGTTAGGACTGACCGTCCAATCAGCAGTGAGAAGGTCGGCATCAGACAGATACTCGCTGGCTCTTTCCACATCCTCCACCTCGCAGAAGAAGTCCAAGTAGTTCTGGTGAAGGTACAGGCTGAAGAACTCTCCGGACATGTGAGAACGCTCAACAACCAGCTGACAGGAGAAAGAGAAGACCAAAGACCGTTTATGCTCCTGTAAGTAAAGATAAATCAATACAACAGCTGATCAGCACCTCAGGGTCCACTAGTAAGGCTGCTCTGTGATGATGCAGCAGGTGGGACGGTAGACCACGCCCACAACCACCCTCCGCTCCGTCAGCACCTTCATGTTTCTCTCCTGTCAATGACAATCACAGGCACAGTGCAGCAGCTTTAGTATCCACATGCTCATTCCTGCAGAAGATAAAGAGGTGAAACAGCAGCTGGACTGACAGCAAGCACGCTCCCCTAACTACACAGAACACCAGAGAAAAACACGGTTCTTCTTCTTCATTATTAAAAGGTTTCAAACTGACCGAGCAGATTTAGATTCATGTGATTTATTAAGCAAAGTCAGCGCAGAGTGACTGACGTCACAAGCAGCCAGTGAGACGATGCTGTGTTACATCCTCCTGTGTTTCACTGTGTCGAGTCTCTTCTCCTCTAAACATAATGTTCTGCATTTTTCTTACATTTAACATTAATGTGTGCCTCCCTCTCGATTGTACAGTTTCTCCTGTTTGCTATTTATTCCTGCTGTCTGTCATTTAGATTTTATTCCAGAACAGTCGGTGGAGCACCTACAATCTCACTGTAAATGAACAATGAAATTAAGAGGTGGCAGGACCTGGTACTACTCATCACTGATGCGAGGACAACCTCAGGTTTGTCTTCAGCACTGATGAGCCAAGCTCTCCTTTAAACTCAATGACTTCATCAACTTCTTCAAATAAAATGTTAAAAAGATTCAAAGCCATCCCACAGGTGTGTGTGAGCACTGTGATACCTCCTGATGTTAGACCGCTTCTAATACAAAATATATTTTTAGAGTCAAATTCAATCACGTCTCCCTGTAAATCATCAGTGTGCATATTAAACTCTACTCCTGCCAGACTGCTCAAAGTCTGATCATTGCTTTCATTTATCTTTACCTATTCAAGTTGGTACGGCTGTATGAGCGTCACAGCGCTCCTTACTGCTGCGCAGCTTCTGTTTCTATGGTTTCATGGCGTGTTGTGTCTTTGTGTGACGCACGGATCACTTTCAGTCATCGGGGAACAGCGAGTGATGCTGAGGAAACAACGGATGAGCTACAATCCAAGATTTACTCCAACTGTTCTGTCCGACAGTGTCCTGGCTCCACCTGCTAAGCCTCAATGCCTCAGTGGAGCTACGGTCCGGACCGTACACCACCAGCACCGAAACAAAGGGAAGGGGTGGGGGCTTATGTACTCCAGGGCTGCAGACATAGAGGCCATGTCCATTCAGGCCTATTTATCTACCTTTGAGACAGTCGGGGACTAATGGTAGCCATAGTAACCATAGTTTACATCCCCTCCAATGCTAACGTTAGCTCATCACTCAGCCACCTCCAACTTCTCATCAGCAGACAGCTGAGAGAGCACCCAGCAGGCGTCCAGATTGCTGCTGGGGTCATAAATAATGTTCGGCCCTAAACTCCACCAACATGTTAACTGTCCTACCAAGAGGGGCCAGGACACTGGACCATGTGTACAGTAACCTCAGGCCTCTCGCTGCTCCTCATCCCTGCCTACACCACCCTCAGGGGCCCCTCCACCCTCCGGTTCATTAAAACATGTCCAGATGATGCTCTCCTCAGGACTGCTTCATCTTTGGACAGCTGGACCTGGAGACAATGTGACAGTGACCAACACTATCCAGGTTTTCCCAAACCAAAAACCTGGATGATGAGAAAAGTCCAGGCTCTGCTCAGAGGGACGGCTCTCTGCACAGCCAGAGCCAACCTGAGGAGGGGGCATCAAACGGGCCGAGGAGGCCTGCAGGGGGAGGACAGAGGGCTCCTTCACAGACAACCCCCACCAGGTCTCACAGGCATCCAGGCCCTCTCCACCTTCCAAGCCCAGTGCCCCCCAACCCCCGACAGCAGCAGAGGAGCTCACCTGCTTCTTTCCCTGGTTTGAGACCACCCCTCCCACACAACCCCAGCCCCCCCCCCAAAGTTGGTCCAGTCAAGTCACTCAGCACTGGATCCCTGCAGGGCTGCGTTCTCAACCCCTACTGTTCACTATAGTTAGTCACAGACCAATTATATTAAAAACAGAACAGAAACTATGGCAGAACATAAGCAGGTCATTCAGCATGTGTTTTATTGTAGTGCACAGCTGACAGCGTGAGCACAGAGCCAGGAGGTCGAATGTGTTCAACAGATTCAACACTGAGTTACTGTAGTCAGCCTGCAGTCCACAGCCAAAGCCCTGACACCCCTTCCACACCTGTCACTTTCACTCACGGCCATGTTTAGAGACAAATAAGAAGACTCAGGCAAGTCCACAGGTCGAGGGTCGTGACTCCCAACACACTCAAACTGATCCACAAGGCCAGTAACACTGTGGGCATGGAGCTGGAGCTTTTTAAGGTGGTGTCAGATAAGGAAGAGCTGGACAGTACCTCCCACCCTTTACTATCTCTGCATGTGCTACAGAGGAAATATGGTGCAGTCTGACGTATACATTTAATCTGTAACATACTGGGATATTTATAATTACTACTCTTTGTATCTATTGTTTTGTTACAACTCTGTAATAAATCACATTATGTAATAGTTTGTTTAGTGATAGCTGTGACCTCATCATCTCCTCAGGGTTTGATTCAATGATTTTAATGTTCCTGTAAATGTTGTTGTGACTGAGGATTGGCTCACACCCACTCACCTACTATCTACCTAAAATTATACAGCAGGGCCTCTTAATGACCCTTAACTGAAAATGTGACTCCCAGCAGCTGCTCCACCCTGCTCCACCCTGCTCAGTGGGAGAGTCAGTGGGTTAAAGACATAAAGAAAACAGTGGGTGTTTATTAGCTGAGTTTGTTCACTTGGATAAATGTAAGTTTTGACAAAGATCAGACATTTTACTGTTGCCACTGCAGAGATGACAAAAGCAGCTGAGAGGAAGCTGAAAGTGGGAGTGACTAACGTTTGCAGTGCAGGATCTTTCCCAGTGCTCTGAACAAGAAGAGAGAGGCATCCTTCCCTCCAATGGCGAGCGCCTCTTCCTGTTTGGACTTCTTCTTCCTTTGACTTGTTGTGGAACCAGCTCTGCACAGTGACCTGTCCTTCTTTGTCCTCCATAAACCTGTTTCCAGTGACGTGCCTGAAAAGTTTTAGTGAGAATAAACTGAATCATTAGGATCAAAAGTCATTTATAGATAATTTAACATGTATTTGTACACTTACAGCTATCAGTGGGCAAACAGGAGAACTGGAGGCTGTTGACGGCACTGCGAATATCTCCCGAGCTTCCTGAACACAGTGTTTCCAACAGCGTCTGGTCTGGGACGCACATGCTTCTACAGCTCTGCTTAGAACAGCACACAAATACAATGCAGACAACAAACACAGACGCACACAAATGAATGTGAACAGAGTCTCACCTTTGCTGCCTCCTGGGTTGCAATGCAAGTGAGAACCTTCATCATTGCAGTTGGAGCCACTGGATTAAAGCTGGAACACACACACACACACACACACACACACACACACACACACACACACACACACACACACACACACACACACACACACACAGATTTCACTGCATGTGGCGAATAAAAGTTGATGATGATGATGAAGTCAGTGTGAAATGGAATCATAACAAACATGTAAACGCTGTTATACAGCGAGAGGAACACAAACAGCTCTCTGGCCTTTGAGATGCACAAAATCAAAACTCGTGTGTAATTTTATGCATGCTGCATGATTATACATACATACAACTGTATGCATATTTAATGTTGCCACTAGGTGGCGCCTTAATGTGACCTCATATTGGTACGTAGATGCCTCCAGAGTCAGACTGCCAGTAAGCATGTAAAGGTCTGCGCCTTCCTGGCTGCTTCGCCCACACTGGGATGTCTGGTCTGCGCTTGGGGGGCTCGTGGGTGTCCACAGACCCACTGGGTGGGGCCTCCAGGTGAGCGAGCAGCTGCTGCTTGGTGCAGTTTGTCCCAGATCCAGACCAGTCTGTCTTGTCCCTTTACTGTGTGTCTGTTGTAACTGAGTGGACGACTGGTGTTGGGACACAGTGTGCAGATGGGCCAAAGACTTGGGTCATCAGTGGGTGGGGGGGTTAAGTGTGAGTGACTGACTAACTGAGCAAATGGCCTTTGTGTGTGCAGCTGTAGCTGGGTCTGGGGCCCGGAAATAACCGCTGCCCCTCCCTGGGATGCCTATAGGTGCCTCCCGCCCCATCTTTTCCTGCTGCAATGGGCGCGCAGATGTCGCTGAGACGTGTGGTCTGATTTCTTTGCACTGTGCATCCACATGTTCATCCTCCCACGGTTCATTTCAGGGTCTGAATGCATAATTAGCTGCTTATTTAATAAATCGAGCTCTGACTACACAAGGTTTGCAACTACGGACTCAGTGAAACCAAGATCTGAAGATGCCTAGGATGAAGTGTGTGTAACAGCTGGTTATCAAATCACATTCACAGTTTCCAGAACCTGATGCTGCTAATGCCCAGCTCCTCCTGGATGTCTTTGGGAAAAAGAAAGCGTGAACTGCCGTCTCCACTCAGGCTGTCTGACACTATGAACACCAGGGGGCACTGACTGGTCCTCACGAAACGCCTGAAAGACACAAGGACAGAATCTGAGAGCAGGAACCACACAGCACTGCTTTGGTGACACAAACATTATAAACCTTACAGTGCAGTCAGTGTACAGACCACTGCATGCAGCAAGACTTCAATCAGGCCAACCTGGTCCTAAATGTAAACTAGGAATGCTGGTACTGGTGTAACTAAGTATTTACCCTGTAATCCTACCTTCAACACTTCAAAGAAATCATTAAAAGGACAGAAACAGGTTCTTGTTTGCTGTGTGAAAACAAATGAACTGTGAAAAACTGCAGGTATGATAAAAAGACGCTTTCTGTCAGCTTGGCACGACGAGGACGTGATTTTGGACTTTTCCAGAGTATTTAATACCATCAGGCCAGCCCTCATGGGTGAAAAGCTGACAGCGATGCAGGTGGATGCCTCGCTCGTGTCCTGGGTTGTTGATCACCTGACAGACAGACCACAATATGTGCGTCTGACAGCGTGGTCAGTAGCACAGAGGAACCACCAGGGGCTGTCCTCTCTGTACAAGCCCTCCATCTAAAGCACAAGTACACACTGCAAGACACTAGTGTCACATCCTCTCCTGAGAAAATAAGTCAATGATATGAGGGGCACCTCGATGTTGTCTATACTCAAAGGAAGAGATTTTAGGCAGCAGAGGAAATACCAAAGGTGACGTGCAGAGCTGCAGTGACTACAGGGAGATAAAGACTGGACCCTGAACACGCTGCTCTACAGATAGGATCTTTGATGTGAGAGTGCTGATGCAGAAGCACAGAGAAGGTCAGAAGGTCACTGTGCCGTTTACACGATGCTCTGGATTCACGTTGGCAGCACAGATGGCCCCTGGTAGGTTCAGCACTGGCTCCCATCCTGGTTCACCTGAGTTCAAAAAGCCTCAGCAGTGGCTTTGTAACCTTTTCTAGAGTGATGAACATCGACGGCTGAGTTTTCCAGCAGGTTCTTCTCACTGTGGCACCACCACGACCTACTTCAGTGCACTTATGATTCATCGGGTCTGTCAGTAATCACACCTCCATGTTGAAGCTGAACTTTCATCTTAATGTTGTTAATCACAGTTGATCCATGATTTAACCAGTGGGGCGATTACTTCCTCTACAGCGTGTGTGTAATGTGTGTGGATAGTTTTTACCCCTAATAAATAAAATCATTTACAAACTGCAGGTTGTATTTATTTGTTGATGCCTCCGTCTAACATGAAAATGTGTTTGATGATGTAAAACATGTGAAGCTGTTTGTCACGGCACAGAGTCCTGGGATCAGGTCTTACCTCAGGACCTCGTGCAGGGCTCCGGGCTGCCTGTAGAACTGGTTTGGCAGATCCTGAAGAGGCACACGAGAGTATAAATGTACGCATGTTAAACAAAACTGCGTTACACCACTATATAGTTTATATGCCACAGTTAATAATAATAATAATAATGGATTGCATTTATATAGCGCCGTTCGAGACCCTCAGAGCGCTTTACAACACCACTGTTCATTCACTCTCACATTCACACACTGGTGGAGGCAGCTGCAGGTGTAGCCACAGCTGCCCTGGGGCAGACTGACAGAAGCCAGGCTGCCATATCGCGCCATCGGCCCCTCTGGCCAACACCAGTAGGTGAAGTGTCTTGCCCAAGGACACAACGACCGAGACAGACAGAGCAGTTGTGATCGAACCGGCAACCTTCCGATCACAAGATGAGCTTCCCAACCCCCTGAACCCACCAAAGCCACAACATTAAAAATGAAAACAACACGGCACAGATCACCAGCACTGTGGTGTCTATGGGACCTTTCATTCAGTGGCTGAGCCCATGTGGGCTCCACGAGTCTGCAGACATCCACTGTGGCGTCTCCGTCTCTGCTGAAGTGCAGCACTGAGCTCACACAGGGCTCTGCTGTTTGACTCGTCCACGTGTCAGACGTGTCTTGCACTGCACACGTCCTCAAACACTAAATAAACGATGCAACTCGAGTGTTTGTGTTGCTGCTCGTGTCTCTGAGTCTTTGTGGTGCACTGCGGGGAGTCTGGTGTTGACGGTGAGCGTCCGACGGCTCTTTCTCATTAGTAACTTCTGTCCTTACTCTTTCACACGCCTCGTGGTTAGGTGGTAGAAGAGCTTTGTGGTGTCGGTGTCTGTACTGGGACCAGTTAGCTGCACTGTACAGTTTTCTGTTTTCATGGCTGAGCCGTGTTATAGACGCAGACCCACATTTAGGAACGAGCTCCTCGATGTGTTAGTGACCACTGCAAACTGCCAGTGAAAAACGACAGCAGTGAACTGTGTGACAGCACAAAACAAATCCCAGAGCATAACACGAGACGATGAATCGCAGCGCTGTTTTCACACCAGAGGAGTTTTGTTAAATGAGTTACACTCACTGAAAGAACAGATGCCTTCGACATCACCATGAATAACGAGGGATTTCTAACACTGCCTTCCAGCCCTGAGCTATGAGGAAATGAAGCAACAGTCAAACTGAAATACAGACCATAATATCTTCCCACAGCTGTACAGTCGTATTGAAATGAACAGCAGTGAAACACTGGAGTAGTCTCTGTGTGTCATACCTCCACCAGGATGAGCTTGTTGTGCGCGACTCCTCCATCACCTGCCATCTTCAGGCAGTTGTATTTGTTGGCTCTGAGGAGGAAATCCTGGAACTGTGACGACTGAGAGCTGGAGGAGAAGCCGTTCGTTCGCCACTCTAGTAAAAGTTTAGAGCATCAGAGACGAGAAGCAGAAGTCTGTATGCTACAGTGTAGGCACGTGGTCTTCTGTTAGTACTGGGATGGCTACAAGAACACAACACTGTCACTGTGCCCCCACACCCTCCAGCTCTATGCATTTGGTTACCTGAGGAGTAATCACCTGCACATATGAGAACAGACTCTGCATGCTAGACTTTTGGTATGATGTGCTATCTGGTTAACATGTATAGACTTCCTGATGAGCAGCGGTTTGCTCAGTGCAGATAAAACACACATGCAGAGCAAGATAAACTTCGCTCTCCATCTGGAACATCTCACATTTGCCAAAATGTCCTAATTTAGCACAAGTAAGGAAACAAGGAGCTTTGTCTCTGGTCAGTTACTTTGTTGTTGTGATGCTTCTTGTATAAATCTGACACAGCTGGAAAGCCTGTTTATGTCGCTTTAAACGGTGCCGGTGGTGTCATAAGCAACACGCGTTTGTGGGTTAAGCACAAACGCACACATGGAGTTTCCAACCAGCTTATCCTGCTACTGACTTGTTTAGTGCAGTTTATTGGACTGGACGATGGAAGATTTGGCAAATACAACATTGGAAGCCACAGATGTATTTTCCTAACAAACGAGGCCCCATGTAAGGGCCAATAAACAGGCTTTCACAGCAATAACACACCAAACACACTTTCTTTGTTGTTCCAGTCCAGACAGAAACTGGTTATTATCCAGAGATGATCTGACTTAGTTTATACCTGTTAAATGAATTTGCATTATTAAGCACAGGTGAGGTTTAGTCATCACACTGAATTTCTACAGGTAACCTCTTCATGCTGATGACTGTCCCGCTGACACGTGTGAGGAGGACAGACAGATGTTTCCTCACCATGACTGCTGCTGTATGCTTCTAGGTTTGTGGGACTACTCCATTCCTGAACCCTGAGGCCCATCTCCAGGGACAGCACACGGACTGTGGCCGTCTTTCCACAGCCCGACGGCCCCGTCAGCAGCAAAATACCACTCTGTAGATGAAAGGCTCAAACTGAGTCTCCGACTTTACAGCCTCCTCAGACAACAGGGCCTAAAATGATCAGAACTCCGGCTGTGGCTGAGCCACGTGTCCACGCAGGGGAAGTTTTCCACCAGCAATCACTCATTTTCTTTTTGTCAGGGAGGATGAAGCATTATTATCTCTGTTACTCAAAGAAAAATCAGAGCATGAACTGCTTGAACGTGATTACTTCACTCAGTGTACGAATGCAAAGCGTAGTTACCTTTGTGTTGGTGTGAACTCTGATCCACTTCTCAACTTCCTCCATCTTCTTCTTGTGGACAGCTAGTTCAGCCTACACAGATGGACACACCGTAGCATAAACCGCTCAGTACACAGTCAGCGCTAATACCTCGTCACAAACACAGGACGGGATCATTCATCTTCCACACAAACACAATCAAACCTGCAACAACTGATAATAAACATTAAGACAGATTTAGTCTCAAGAGGCCTTTAAACTTCAAATGAACTTCTCCCAAGTGCTGATTGGCCAAACCTACAAACATACTGTTCAAAACATGAAAGGAACACATTGAAAGCATCAGATCTCAATGGAGAGAAATCGTCCTGTAGATCTACACTGACTGTGTAACGTGTCAGGAATTAAAGTCAAGATCAGTCTACAGACACCCCAAAGTCAAAGTGGAAAAATGATGTGACAGGCTAGTTTGTAATGGCCCCTGCAGGCAAACCTGGCAATGTCACAGCATGCTCTGTGAGATGACAGAGTTGTGGGAGACCTCCTCAGACATCACTGAGCTCATGGACAGCTGCTCGCTGGCAGATGGAACAAGAACTGAGGCTACGTTCACTCTGCAGGTCTTACAGCTCAATTCTGATTTTTGGATCGAATCCGATTTTTCTGTCTGCTTCTTCACACTACAAATAAAATGTGACAGCAACCGCGCTCTAGTGTGAACGCTCAAAGCAGCGCAAAAGAAGACGTCACACACAACGCGCTCTGTTTAGACCCAGACCAACAGACTCTTCACCCTCCTGCCCACTGATGGCCTTAATATAAAGACTTCGGACCTTACGTTTCCCAATTTTTGCTTTAAGTTATTTTGTTATCTACATTTGGTCTAATAATGATCCTTACTGCTGTTTTAGAGGAGCTTCAAAGGATAGCTGCAGATTTCTGTCAGAATCTGCAGATTATACAGAACAAATAAAATGTTCACGTTTCTCCAACGTTGTCTTCCCAACAGTTTCACCGGATGGTCAGGAAGCGTTCGTGATGTCTTCTCCGGCGCTGATAGTTGGCGTCTGTCTTGTGTCAGTGACGTAAAAGACGGATTTAATGCGACGTGACCATCAAACACCAGTCGCAGATTTGTATCGTATTCAGCACCACATACCAAAGTGACCCAGGTCTGATTTGAAAATATCGGATTTGTGCCGTTCACACTGTCACACCATGATCGGATAGATGGTCGCACAGGGTCAGAAAAGTCTTTCGCCTGCAGTGTGAACGTAGCCATAATATCCCAGAGGTGTTCTTTTGGATTGGTGTCATTCAGCGTGGGGGCCAGTCAATACTATGAATCCCTTCATCCACACTTCAAATCCTGTCTCCCCCCCACCCTGGACCCCCACCAATTCGCATACCGCCAGAACAGGAGCACAGAGGATGCAGTCTCCATCGCACTCTGTCCTCTCACACCTGGACAACAACAACACCTACACCAGAATGCTGTTTATAGACTTCAGTTCAGCGTTCAATACAATCCACCCCTCACAACTCATCAGGAAACTGACAGACCTGGGCATCAGTTCCCTCATCTGCAAATGGTTACTGGACTTCCTGACCAACCGCCCCCAACATGTCCGGTTGGATAACCGCTGCTCATCTACAATCACGATGAACACCGGTGTACCACAAGGCTGTGTGATGAGCCCTTTCCTCTACTCCCTCTTCACCCACGACTGCAGACCTGCTGATGGTTCCAACACCATCATTAAGTTTGCAGATGACACCACGGTGATTGGCCTCATCAGTGACAACGATGAGGCCGCCTACAGGGAGGAGGTGGATCGTCTGGCTGAGTGGTGCGACACAAACAACCTGCTGCTTAACACCGAGAAGACCAAGGAGCTCATCGTGGACTACAGGAGGAATGCTGACCCACATCCACCCATCCACATTAAGGGGACGGCTGTGGAGCGTGTGAGCAGCTTCAAGTTCCTGGGAGTCCACATCTCCGAGGATCTCACCTGGACGACCAACTGCTCCAAGCTGGTCAAGAAGGCTCACCAGCGCCTCTTCTTCTTGAGGACTCTGAGGAAGAACCACCTGTCCTCAGACATCCTGGTGAACTTCTATCGCTGCACCATCGAGAGCATCCTGACCAACTGTATAACAGTCTGGTACGGGAACTGCTCTGCCTCGGACCGGAAGGCGTTGCAGAGGGTCGTGAAAACTGCCCAGCGCATCGCCGGAGCACCACTTCCTGCCATAAAAGACATCTACAGGAAGCGGTGTCTGAAAAGGGCTGGGAAAATCATCAAAGACCCCAGTCACCCATCACATGGACTCTTCACCCTCCTGCCCTCTGGGAGGCGCCACAGGAGCCTCTGGACTAAGACCACCAGGTACCGGAACAGCTTCTTCCCCACAGCTGTCAGACTCCTGAACTCTGCCTCCTGACATCTGACCCATGTTAAACTCATGGACTGAACATACACACACCCACAATGGACAACTGTACCCTCAAACACACAATAATAACATGGACTGAACCACCACTCACAACCACCAGCACTTTATATAGCCTCTGTAGAAACTATCTACACCCTCACTTATCTTAACTGCACTACTGTATAGCTCTGTGTAAATAATCATTCTGTACATTTGATAATCTTTAATCCTACAACTGTTTACAACTTGCACAGTTCCCATTTCTGTATAGCTGTATATCTCAGATTCTGTAAAGTTATTTATTTCATATTCTGTATAGTTTTTCATATTTATATCCTGTTCATAGCCTGTACATAGCTTGTACTCACTACAGCCTGTACATACTTATAGTTATAGAATATTCACAACATACTTCATACCGTGTACATTATAACATACCATAATAGACCCATTTCTGTAATATACTCACATATCTATATTATTGCTAATATATATTGTAATATATCTATATCATGGCTAAAGCACTTCTGGATGGATGCAAACTGCATTTCGTTGCCCTGTACCTGTGCATGTGCAATGACAATAAAGTTGAATTCTATTCTATTCTATCCTCCAGGAGCGACTGCATACTCTCATCACATGAGGCTGGGCATTGCTGTGCACCAAGAGCAGCCCACTGCACCAGCATACAGCCTGACCATAGGTCCAAGGGTTTCAGCCCAGCACCTAATGGCAGCCAGGGCGCTGTTGCTTACCCTGCAGAGGTCTGCGCGTCCCTCCATGGGTATACCTCCTCAGACACCGCTGAACCACCAGCAAACCAGTCATGCTGAATGACTTTACAGGGATGTTCTCCACAGGTTCTCGAGACCCATTATGTCTACCACATGTGCTTTCAGCTCTAAGCCTGCTCTCATCTTTGAAAATGACCTGGCGTCAGAGGTGCCAATTCTGGAACTCGATGGTAAATGCCAATCAGGCTTCATGGTGCCAGGCAGTGAGCACAGGGTCCACTAGAGGACACCGGGGCCTCGGCTGACCCTCGGAAGTCTAATTCTGATTGTTTGGTCAGAAACATTCACACCAGTGGTCTGCTGGAGGTCATTTTGTAGCTCTGACAATGCTCATCGATACTGGCCCTGCTGATAGGTTAAGGACCTTTACGGCCTTGTCCAGCTCTCCTAGAAGAACTGCCAGTCTCCTGGAATCTCCTCCAGCTGTGCTGGGAGATGCAGCAATGCTAATGTATTGATCCTGGAGCATGACTACCTGTACAGCCTCTGTAGGGTCCAGGTGTCACCTCATGTTACTGGTTGAGACAACGAGCCCAGACAAATGCAAAACTAGTGCAAAAACAAAAAAGATGAGGAGGTAACTATCAGGGACCTCCGCCTGTAAAACCACTCTCGTTTTGGGAGTTGTCTCGTTGTTGCCCCTCTGGCACACCTGTTACTAATTTCACTAACACCAAATTTATTGTCCTGATGCTTTATTCTGATTAAAAAGTGGGTCTTTCTGTGACTGGACTCTGTTCCAGTCTACAGTTACCTCTGGTGAGACCCTGAGTGGGTAGAAGGTTTCCCATCAGGGGACTCCATCGTGCTATGCAGGGCCTTGAAAGCTCACGACAGCATGCCGGACTTGAACCTGAGCTGACGTGGGTGGACTGTGTTGTGAAGGGCAGTTTGTACATGACAAGCAAAGGTGCTGACCTGTGAGCGGGGTGAGTATTTGTCCACCCAGGGCTCATTCTGGTCCAGTTGAGACGACTCCTTCAGCAGGTAGGAGACGCTAGCTTCTCTTTTCCTCTTCCTCTTTATCTCAGCCTTGGAGCATAAAACAGGGTTGCCATTTCTTCTTCCAGAAAGAGAAGAACATTCCTCTCTCAAATCAATAAAGGATGGATCCACCCAATGGTTTGCCTGTTATATATATAGGAAGTAGAGCAGGGCGATATGACCAAAAATATTTATCACGATATACATTTGAAAATTTGTGATAACGATATAACTGACACGAGAAAATACTTTACAACTCCTCAACTTTATTAGTGCAAAACAAACCCCAAAAAAAACATAAATGTATTTTCACTTAAACAAGCAGCTGTTTTTTTATGTGCATTAAAGCTACATCGTTTCATTCAACGATCCGCTTTCGCTCTCCTCATTCGCCATCGCCGCCATGCTTTTTCTGCCATGTGCGTATGAAAACAAAGGCACTGCACATGCGGTTTTACTCATATTGTATCGCGATATTTCATTTTCTTATCGCTGCCTAACATTGTACCGGTATTACCATGAACGGTATAATATGATATATGATGATATGGCCCAGCCCTAACACGAAGTACAAAAAATACATAATTTATTGATGCAAAACATGACAAAAGAGGTACTTGGCTGCTCTGTGCTTAATGGAGAGCTAGTACCTCAAAATAATGGTACGAGAATCAGGTCGGGGAAAGATTACATTCCTTAATAAACATGTGAGATGCAGGTGATACCTGAACAGGTACAGCTATGTGGAAAACACAGCTTTCAGCAGGATCCATGCAGTCCTCTGACATACTAATACAACCTTACCGCTTCCACAGGAATCAAGTGTGACCAGAACATTTGACAGTTTGCTGGTCTTAAGTATTTGAGGTGTGTATTAGCACATCAGAGTGATTACTGTACGATCCTAAATAATGGTTGGGTCAGTGCTGGTTGGGCTGTATGAAAGAAGCGTCAGAGTTTTGCGAAGTTTAGTGAAATAAATATATTTAAACCAAACAGAAATGAACACTGAAACTCTACTCTGGACACTGCTCATGCAAACAACGTCATATGGACGTGGATTATGTAAATGGAAGCACTTTGTAATAAAGTAACGGTTTCTATACTTCCTGTTTGCAGTGTGACCCCACTGACCCCGGGCTCCCCTCCCTCCCGAAATCCACTGTGTTACTTACCCTGCGCTCAGTAGCTTTATCTGCCACAAGCTTGTTCATCCTTAAAGCTGCTGTTTCCCATAGAGAACAGTAGATTAGTGAAGGACCGGAGACCTGAACAGCTGCTGGCGACGAAACGAGAGAGAAAACACAGCCCGTAAATATCGCAGCACTCGGGACAACATCTCTAACTTACTGCGTCTGTTAGTTAAGCCACAGGGACCAGACTCCAGGACCTCTGTCGAGTGTCAAACTCATAACAAACGTCTCTCAGGCTACTGTTGTTTAGCTAATTACACATTTCACAGTTTATATTCGGACGGCAGCTTCTGTTAAGCTAATATAACTTCGCTTTACCTCGTACGAAACACAGCTGGCTTTTCAGAGATTCGCACTCTTGTCCGGGCACAATGGAAACTTCAGTTTGAACCAATCACACGTATGTTTCCCACACACTTCGTGCGGAGCTGTAAAATTTAAACTCCGACAACTAATTGTCTAACTGTCGCTAACTGACTGCTCACTGACGTAATATTGACGTAAAGCTTCAGTTTACGGCAGTGGAATCAGTCCGGTTATAGCGTACAACAAAACAAAGTTTTACATCGAACTGGTTCCCAGTTTTCCAGGTTTGTTAGTTAACTCTGGCCGTTACTGGTCTGACTGGAATGACATGGAGGAATAACAGCACTGCTCTGACTTTCAGGTGTCGATCATCAAACACGTGTCTGCTGGAGCTATGAAGACGAAGAAGCAACCGAACATCCTGCTGACAGGTTCGGTACATTTATACACCTGGTTACTCTCTGCAGTTACCCTACTGCAGACGCGAAGCCTGCGCTGCGGTTAAATGTCGGGTAGTTAGTAGGTGTTCAACATGTTTGTAATCATGGGAGCTGAGTCCATGTGGTCTGATCTCAGCCATCGCGTCCTGTGAAGCTGCAGCTGCGATAATAACGATGATAAAAATGGTGTACAGTGTATTTGGATGCTGTTAGATATGTACCCGTCCCACGCACACAGAGGGGTGACATGATGAACAACCCGAGTAATTATGTCGCGGGGTATACTGGAGCGTTTGCCCCTTGGACCCACGTGTCAGCACACCAAAGTTATTCTGACTGATTATACGGTGAAACGTCTCTGTTCGCGTGGAGCTGCCGTGTCCCACAATGATCGCGCCTCCGTGCACACGGGGGAGGATGAAGTGCTGTGTTTTGGAGCGGGGCGTTAGATTGTGCTTACTCTTAGAATGAATGCCAGAGCACACTGAAGGTGTTCCAGCAGCTTCAGGTCCATGTAGCATCTATTATTTATCTTTACTATAGTTCCACCTTTAAGCATGTGAGTAACCTACCAACCCGTTATATAATCAAAGGTACAATAACCACTAATGTCATGATAACCTGGGACCTCCAATGGGGGGGCTCGTGTGGACCTGATTGACCTGAGGCACCAACCAGAGCGCAGCAGGGTGCTCACCTGTAATGGCCCTGGTTTTCCTGAGACAGGAGGATCTGGCAATGGTCTCCGGGGGTGGCAGAGGGCAGCCAGTGACTTTCTTGGTCAGTGTTAAGTATCTGCAGCCTTCCTCTTCTCAGCAGTGGGTCTTGAGTACCAAACACCAGGCAGTAGGAGAGCACGCGCTCCACTGAGGAGCAGTAGAAGGCCAGCAGCAGCTCCTGGTCCAGGTTCTTCTTCCTGAGGACACGGAGGAAGTGTAGCTGCTTCTGGGCCTTCTTCACCAGGGTGATGGGTCCAGCTGAGATGTTGGTGCCCAGAAACCTGAAGGCGTTCTCCATTTTTAATGAGGGGGGAGTGTCTGTGCCTCCTGAAGTCGGTTATGAGTTAAATGGGTAAACTAGATGTATGGTCAACAGAAGATTAAAATATCATCACTATCACTACTTTATAGCCTTGAGTCACAGCAGAGACGGTTCCCAGCAGCTGAAACCCCCCAGTAGCACCACTATCACTGTATTTCTTACTTCTACTGAATTATTAAATGCCAGGTGGGTAGTTGAAGAACAAAACTGAGCATTTTACTGCAGAATCAATCGGATGCTCATCACCAGATGGGGTAAAGTCAAATCTTTAATATAGACTAACTTTGAATTTGAATTCAGCTGTTAACTCTTCTTCCTACAGGGACTCCCGGAGTTGGAAAAACCACTCTAGGAAAGGAACTGGCCCAGCGCACGGGGCTGACCTATGTCAACATAGGAGACCTGGCCCAGGAAGGTAAAGGAACTTTGGGAACTAATGGACATTAAGACAGAAACATCTACCATGCTAAGGACAAAGATCGTTCTGAGAATAAACTCAGAACTTTGGGATTAAATGAAATAGTGCTGTGACACAAAGGCTGACTGTGGAGATGACAGCTGTCACAGCTGCTGTGGCCTCCACAGATTCCCTCTGGTACATGAGTGGAACAGACTGGTCTTATTGTTTCTTCTGATGTCACACACATGATTTGTGTTCCACGAGGCTGGAGCCATCAACATCCTGGCATTTGTACCCGTCCACTCTGACCAGGTGCAGCTGTCTGCACCATCTTTTCCATGTTCTTATACTTACAGCACACGGTGTCTGTGACCCAAAGCAGAAATCATGTTCTCAGGACAATTATTACACTTTCACTAACTCGTCTACACAAAGTGATTTACAGCCAGTGATTCTGTTGATGGCCCTGCTTTCAATCACACTGAATCTGAACTCTGCATGGATCATTTTTTCCTCCAGGACAACTGTTTGATGGATATGATGACGAGTACCAGTGCCCCATTCTGGATGAGGACAGGGTGAGTGAACTTCCACACTGGACTGTAGAGCAGAGAAACACAACGATGTCTGAGGCAGAGATTATATTTAACTAAAACTTAACTAACATTTATATTCTCCAGTACCTGCTACTTTTTCAAAGAGCCTGCCACCAGTTACTCAGTCAGTGACATCACTTGATGAGTCACGAGAGCGACTCCTTCCTGAAAATCCAAACCACTTTTTTTTTTTTAATGCCCAACAATGAGCACAAACACAGTCTGACAACAACCCACAGACCAGCAGCAGGAAGGTTTTTGAAAGAGAAAACGATCAGATTTGTGAGCTGAAGGTAATAACTGTGCATAAATGATCAGGTGGATGCATTTGTAAAATGGATCGGAGCGTGTGTTCATGTGTACATCTTAGTTTACGCCTGTGCAGCACATTGTAAGCATCTGCAGCCTTTTGGAGACACATTTCTCTCCATCATTAAAACAGGGGAAGAAAGAGGGCCTGTGAATCTGTCCACAGCTGTTAATGTGCTGAGCTTTATTAATATCATTATTACAACAAATGATAAATGTCTGGATATTTTGCCACAGCACACTTTGATGGTTCCCCCTCTCAGAGCCCACCTCTCCACTAAGTTGATGGATTTCTCTTTATTATTTCTAGCAGAATTTTGCTGCTTGCAGACAAAACAAACGTTTTGCTAACGGTGCAGGTAGACTGAGGGAGTGCATCGAGTGTCAGTGTTGGAGCTTGTTGGTGTTCTGCAGGTGGTGGATGAGCTGGATGAAAAGATGAGTGAAGGAGGCGTGATCGTGGACTATCACGGCTGTGACCTGTTCCCCGAGCGCTGGTTCGACATCGTTTTTGTCCTGCGCACAGACAACACCCAGCTGTACACTCGACTGGAGGCCAGGTAACAACACCTGGGTTTGTTTCTGCTCACAGAGCAGTCATCACAGCGCTGTCATGTTACAGGCTTGCTCCACAGTGGACTACACTCAGTGTTCACATAAGACCTCAGAATGACAAAGTAACACAAGCTGAAATTCTTGCAGATTTATTAAAAATAAAAAAACAAATTTAACATGTGCATAAGCCTTTGCTCAAAACGTTGAGTCACCTTTGGCAGTATGAGTACGACGCTACGAGCCTGGTGTGTCTATTTCTGGACATTTCTCCCAGATTTCTTTGCAGAACCTCCATCAGCTTTATCAGGCCTGTGCAGAGATGTTCGGTGGGGCTCACTGGGCTCCAGATGGGTCACTCAAGGACAGCATGGTCCCAAAGTCACTCCTTTGTTATCTTGGCTGTGTGGTTCAGTCTTTGTTTCATCAGACCAGACACTTCAGTTTCTCGTGGTCTGAGTCCTTCAGGTGACACTTGGCCACTTCCCAGTGGGCTGTCATGTACCTTTAACCAAGGAGCAGCTTCTGTCTGGCCACTTCAGGGCTGATTGAAGGTTATCCTCTCTCCACAAAGCCACACCGGAGCTCTGTCAGAGGGATCATCGGGTTCTTGGTCACCTCCCTGACTAAGCCCTTTCTGAATGAATCGCTCAGATTGGAAGAGTCCCGCTGGTTCATTTGTTGGTGGCTCTGGGTGCAGATACAGTCCTCTGTGGTCTCAGACAGTTCCTTACACTCCATGGACTGGTTTGTGCTCTGACGTTTACTGTTACCTATGGGACCTTATATAGACAGGTGTGTGTCCACGTCCGGTCAACTGGATTTCAAACAGGTGGATTCAGCCAACTTACAGAAACATCTGACAGATGATCAGTGAAAACAGGACGACTGTGATTACTTATTTACTAGGGGTGCAACGATACTCGTATCGATATTGAACCATTCGATACAGTGCTTTCGGTTCGGTACGCATATGTATGAACAATACAAAATTTGTAATTTATTTTATCAACTTTCCTTCTGACGATGCTGTCTGTGTTGAGCGCTCAGTGAATCTGCGTTCGACTACTCCGCCTAGGGTCGACAGTGCAGCCTAGGCGGAGTAGTCGAACGCAGATTCACTGAGCGCAGGGCAAGCTAGCAGACAGAAGTTAAGCTCGTTGCAACATGGCAAATTGAACCTCCCCCACCCTCATTCAGATCTGGCCTTTGGAACTATTTTGGTTTTCATGTGACGTATGACCCTGAAGGTAAGCGAGTCATGGACTAAAGTAAAACAGTATGTTGGATGTGCCATGCAATGCTCAATTACATGGTGGGAGCTAGTGTGTTAGCGCAGTTAGCTCGTTAATGTGTTGGCCGTCTAGCCCCATGCACGGGGCGATCCGCGGTAGCTCGTTAACGGAGATTTGCCGTGTTGTGGCGTTAATGTCATTTCAGATTAACGCTGACAGCACTAGTGGGAACACAACGAATATGACTGCACATTTACTCCGACATCATCCTAGTGCAAAGACAAGTGGAAGCAGACAAAAACAACAAGCAGCATGCTACAAACTTTACCCGAGTCATTTAGACAGCCGTTAGCACAGGATTCTCCTTATGGGGACCTGATATGTTTAATATGCTGCTGAGAATATAGCCCAGAAGAAGCGTATAGTATAGCTTTTACTTTGGAAAGAGACATTTCTCTGTAATAAACTCTCTTTTCCAAAGATGAGTGATTCCTCCGTCAGATTTATTTTTTTTTCTTATTACTTTGTTTCAGCAACATTAAATTTAAAAACTGTCCTTTTGAGTTAAATATATATATTTATAATTCTGATAAGTGACAAATTTTAAAAAGGGCATGAACACTTTTTTGTATCGAAAAAATATCGAACCGTGAATTGTGTGTATCGTTGCCCTGTTAGCTACATGTTTTTGTTTTTAATACATTTGGAAGAATTTAAAGCAAAGCCCTTTTTTACAGGTGCGAATGGAATTTGAAAAGTTTTGAAACGAGGCTGCAACATGACAGCGTTTGATTTGGAGGGAAATACATTTGTTGCTGAAGTGAAAACGCTGAGATTTCTGATTCATGAATTAATCATAGTTAAATAATGTGATAGTTCTTCACTACAGTGTTAGCCTGCAGTACTACACTGGTTTTGTCATTGAATTATTACGTAGCATATGGCAGCTATTAACAGTTTGAATTTAAAACGGTGCTTTTGAAGTTGTGACACCGTCTGCTTGGACAAACACATTCAGCCTCTGTGGCTGGGAGCTAAGACACATGGCTGACTGCAGCTCCAAGCTCTAACCAGCTTCAGCACCTTCTGCATACAGACGAGAGCAGAGCTGTCACTGCTTGTGGTAAATGTAGCTCTATCATAGGCATCACAGTCATTCTCTACTCCTGGATAATGACTGTGACATGTGGCTGAGCCATCCAGGTTCCAGAAATAGCAAGTGCTGTGAGACTTGTCTTTTTTTTTCCGTAAGAAAGCTGTAAAAATGAGAACTTCCAGGAACTCGTCTGCAGCCACAGTGTCTGGTTCCCTGTCCCTTTGTATTTGAGTGATAATTCATCGTTTTAACCATTGAACCAAGTTGTCCCTGTCTTCTTTGTGACTGAAAGGGGCTACACGGGAAAAAAGCTGCAGGACAATGTGCAATGTGAGATCTTCCAGACCATCTATGAGGAAGCCATGGAGGCCTACAGTAAGGAGATTGTCCACCAACTTCCCAGCAACACTCCTGAGGACATGGAGCACAACCTGGAGCAGATAGTGCATTGGACTGAACAGTGGATGAAGGACCATAACTAGGAGGTGACCTCACTGGGTCAACAAGAGTCAACAATTAAAACCTGAATTGTATCATTTCTGAATCTGCGTTTACTGTCATATTGAGCAAAAGTTTTGAATTTGTTTGTATTTTGTTTCCAATGACCCGACTTTCTTGTAATTGGTCTTGAGCAGGGGTGTCGAACTCCAGGCCTCGAGGGCCGGTGTCCTGCAGGTTTTAGATATCACCCTGAGTCAACACACCTGAATCACATGATTAGTTTATTAGCAGGTTTCTGGAGAACTACAAGACATGTTGAGGAGGTAATTTAGCAATTTGAATCAGCTGTGTTGGATCAAGGACACATCTAAAACCTGCAGGACACCGGCCCTCGAGGCCTGGAGTTCGACACATGTGGTCTTGAGCAATAGTTGGACAGACTTTCAAAGTGTCTCTTTGGACAGTGCCTGCTTTTGCACTCAGTTTTTATCCAGTCTTTGTACAGTTTTCAGAAAGCATGTTGTTTAGCTACATGACCTATGAATCAATTGTCACCTAACTGAACGAATGAATCAGTGTTGTCTAGATTTAGATGGAATTCTATGACAGACAAGGCAAATAAACCATTGTAATTGGATCTTTAGGCATTTTGTTACTAGCCACACAGTTTGTTCTCATGTTGTTAGTTCAATCTGTGATTAAAGGCCAAAGAAAGCAGCATTTGACGTAGGTACTCAACCTTTTGTGAAGTTCTCCAAGGAAAGATAACCAGCCCACCAGGATTCCTCTGCCCATAGACACCCCAGAGAAGCCTGGCCTCTGTGGCCTGGGCCCTGTTTCAGGAAGCCGGTTTAGAAAACTCAGAGTGAAAAACGATACGCAGGGTTGAGTAACCCCGAACTGTCCAACTCGGAATATTCGGTTTCAGAAAGGCTGATAACAAGTAGTTCAGTCAACGCGGAGTTGCTTTAACCCCAAGTGAAGCGCGCGCACGAGGATACATAAAGCCCTGATTAGTGGAGCACAGATTAAGCGAGTCACCATGGAGACGGAGGGAAAGAAGGCGCGGTCAATGTATTTCACAGCGCTTGAGGCCGAAATTCTGATGGCAGCATATGCCGATAACATGCAAATTTTGCAGAAAAAAAGTAACACAGCCTCAGCTGCAAAAGAAAGGGAGCATGCATGGCAAACATAGCCGACAGAGTCAATGCGTGAGTGTTAATTTAAACATTGATCTAGGGATTTCCACCCATTTAACACGTTATTTTATTATATTTTATTTTGTGATGTGATTTGAGCGCAGGTGCAACCTAACAGGCCCCAAACGTTCCTGGCAGCAAGTAAAAATGAAATATAAAAATATAGTCCAAACAGGTAAGGTGTAATTGTATTATGAGCCATAGTGCTTGGTCTGTTTGTCCCATGTAAATCAATTGCAGTTAGAGGCTACATTAATTTCCCCTCTGTAAGCACTTATTGAAATTATCTGAGCACATTACAAGTACATATTTGCTTACTCTGTGTGCTCAAATGTGACCCGTTATAGCCAACAGAAAAAAAAAGCGGAGGCCTGAAAAACAGGTGGGGGTCCTCCACCACCACCACTCACAGAGGCTGAGCAGTTGGCTTCCATATTTGTGATAATGTAGGCAGCATCACATATGATCTTCACAGTGCAGAGAACACAAATTAGCATCCATTACTATAATGAAATAATTTGTTAGTTTGAAATGCTACAGGGAACTATGTACCTGCACATTAATGCTGTGGAAAGACTTCCTGTTCACATAGTCTCCTTCATTTACTGAAGGAGCAATGATTGGAATGTGAGTGCCATCTATACAGCCAATCACGCCTGGGAACCGTGAAAATAAATGTAAAATTTAAGTAGTAGTTCAAATATCACCACATCATGAATTAAGTTTTGTTCATCCTGATACCTGCAATTTTGTGGCATCCCTCTTTGATAAATCTTGTGGGTCTATGACCGGGGAACACCACAAACGAGTACACGAGACGTTTCAGTGCAACTGTAACATTCCTGACTGCCCGACAGACGGTAGCCTTGGAAACGTGCTCAGCGTCACCAATTTTATACAGAAAGCTCCCGTTTGCAAAAAACCGAAGTGTGATACAAATAATATGTAATTAACTGAGAGCATGTCCGCGATGTGTCACATGCGTAATATATGGCCTGAGGATGTTATTCAAATAACTTATAGATTGTGCTGGGAAACGGTAACGTTCGCACAGGAAATCATCAGGAAATGATAAAATGTCCAAACGCGCTCTGATCACTCTCTCCCAGCGGAGAGCTCTGTGGAGAATTTGTGCTTCAACATCTACTGGCTCTTCAAGGAAGGGACACGCCATGTCCGACACTTCCTACAGTCAGGTTTCTGACAAAGAGGCGGAGAACGTCAGGGTTAGTTGAAGTAAACCTGCTAGGGGGCAGGTTAGCTTCACGGAGTGTGTTGTCATAGTAACTCACTCAGAATTAATCTAAACTCGCTTTGTGAAACCGGAAACCCAGAGTTTCCGTTAACTCAGGGTATACTTACTCAGAGTTTGCACTAAACCGGCTTCCTGAAACAGGGCCCTGATCCCACAGAACAGCTACTGGAGCACATACAGCTGAAAGCTATGCTGGGTTGTATAGGGGCAAAGTGCCGATCCCTGTCCACCACCCAAATAAACTACAGTGGCCATGTCAGCGTGGTGTGATATGAATGGCTGCTTGGATAAGTTTACCTGGAGTGGCGACAGAATCGGGACATGTGGGGAAAAAGCAAGGCAGTGAAGATGGTACTGCAATGCTTCCTTTGGGTAGTGTTCTGCTCCTTGTAAGGTTTCACCTGCTAAACACTGGAAGGATAATGTGCAGTTGCACTGGTGTGACTGAACATTTCTAGGTGACGTCGTTTAGAGACCCATCTCCATTTTTGCTGTTGCCTTTGTAACATTCAGATTGTCAAACCTTTTAGCATCATGTGAAGACTTGTATCACAGCCTGGAGTGTCCCCACTGTTAATGTAGGCCTGTTTAAAACTGTGTATTCAATGTAATAGTTCTCACAGGATTAATAGGAAATCCTGTTTTTATGACGTGTTTACATTTTTGCGTTTGTTTACATCGGAGGATAATGTTTTAACGCACTGAGTTTTTCCCACTTCCACGTGTATCTCCGGTTTCTCCAGCAGGGGGCGACGTATTTTCAGTAAAGTCAACCCGGTCTCATGTATGCGGCTTACTAGTCGGAAGTACAGCGTCGTTGCGCCGTGCGTGGGGCTTTCGGACTTCCATGAACGCCCGTGTGTAGCACAATGGGTAAGATTCATTTTGTATTGTCATATAATAGGATTGTGTGTTCTCGTGTTGTGTACACTGGGCGGTGACACTAGCAAACAGAGGAGCCGTTTATCCCGCAACACGGGGACGTCTTAGATGTGTGGTGTTGGTATGCTTGGCTGGACGGGAGACAGCTGAGTGTCCCGTCCTGTTCCTGACCGTAACAGACACCCGGCAGTGACTGGAGCTCTCCCACGGTGACCCACGGTGAAGCTCGTCTTAGTCACGGGTGATTTATTCGTCCTGCCGGTGCAGCAGGTTAAAGGCTGCTGTGTGATGATTCACTCCTACCGTAAAATTTATGGTCACGCAAATGTGCCCGCCCACTTAAACGTTTCCCTTCGAACAGAGACCGGGGATTAACGCTTACGTCATAGCTACGTCGGAAACGCAAATCCCTCCGCCACCGCAAATATTTGATTGGCCTGGACGGTAATTTTCCGTCATTTCCGGCAGCGCTGACGTCAGCGTCGTTAGCCTGCGGCGTGTTTTTGGATTAGCGTAAGATCAACGTTTATCGGGCGAATCACATTTGAAACGGATTTTTGTGACCGACCTACCTTAATAGTATGAACCAGTCACAGCTGAGCATCCACGGGCGGGTCCCACTAACGTCAGCGCCCCTGTTGATTGGTCCGTGTCCGACAAACGTCATTCACCTACCTGTGTGACTGTAGCAGCTGTGCTGCAGTCTGCCGGCGGATAACTCGGCTAGCTGAAACATTTGCACCATGAGCGTAACAGCCCCGTGAGAGGACAACGAGCTGCTGCTGGGACACGAACTCAGGTCGGTGAACTCAGCACCGTGTGTCGTTCCTTTATGTGCACAGGGAGGGGGGAAACCATGGTTACAGGGGGAAGCGTCCCAATAAAACACACGAGGGAAAAGTACAGACATCATTTACTGAAGTAAAAGTACAGATCCTTGTGTTAAAATACTCCAGTACTGGCTGAAGTACTTTCTTGCCTCCATCAGTAACACACTGCGCTGTCTATAGTCAGGAAATATTAAATCATTACAAAATACGAAAGGCAACATGTACTTTTAAATATATGAATTATATTATTTACACTGATGTTAAGCTCTAAGATGTTCATATTCCACTGTCCTGGTGCTGTCATTTCTGTAATTGCAGTTTATTGTAACAAAGTCCAACAACAGGAAACCAAACCTGCTGTGCTCTGATACAGTGATGCAGGCTCTGAGTCGGGCAGCACTTTAGCAGCTTCCACAACACTGTCATGAACACAGTAAAAAAAAAATGTAGTAGGTGTAGTGCATAGACCGCTCCAGACGTTACGATACGTTCATCAGGAGAACTCCACAAAGTCGCTTTGAATGACTTCCACAGGCTGGTGATGAACTGGGTCGCTCACATGGATTACTGTAACGCTGCATCCTCTCAGACTGAGTGAATGAGACTGATCACAAATGAATCAGCTATTTCAGATGATTTTGTGACTAATCATCTTCATCAGAAAGGTGGCTTACAGTAGTCGTGACCCAGAGATTCTGCATATTGACATAATATCTGTGTCACCCAGTGTGTGGGAATGATGTTTGACAGCACCGCTGCAGGGAGGCCGACACACCGCAGCTGCATTAGATCCGTACTGGGTCCTGACTGAGTTGTTGTTGGTGTGTGTTCAGCTGAAAAGCTGCAGCTGCGTGTAAAAGAACGACAACCGGAATAAAAGCGTGTTTAGAATGGTTAGTGTGGTCGGGTCTGCCATGGGTTTGTTACTATGACATATTTGAGTTTTTTGAAGTTATAGCATAAGAGAAATCAACAACTCAATCATACGAAACAAATCTTAGTTAGACATTGCAGTGCTGTAGCTTTGACAGCCTGTGGCAGATGAAGGTGACAGACTGATACCTGTGCAGGGTGGGCTATTCTGAATACTTACCTGTAATAATAAGACCTTAGTCCAAAATGTCCCAGCTCATATCTGCAAATAGAGAAGAGTTCATGTAATGAAATCAAGCTTTCAAAATTGTGTGGGAGTTCCACAGGGGTCCGTTTTAGGACTGCTGCTTTTCTGTTTCTACATCAGTGACTTATGGACAGTTGTAAAGGTGTCCAGTGTCAGATGTATGCAGATGATGCTATTACATATGTATCTGCAAAGACTCCACGACAGGCAGCAGAGCTGAACAGAGGTGGTGGGAGTGTCTCGGTGGTTCAGCGATCACTCTTTGACTCTGAACTGTAACAAAACGCTCTCAGGGTGTTTTACAATCCGGTGTAAAGTCTGGAATAACTTTTAAGGTCGGGGGGCGGGTTCATTTCACTGCAGTTTACTGCATGTGGCGAATAAAATTTGATGAACTTGAACCATTGTGATAGATCAGAGAGAAATCCAAAAAGTGGATGAGTTTGAATATCGTACAGGAGCTGGGACCAGAGGATCATGGAGCCTGCAGACTACCAAAGTACAACACATTATTTGGTCAGTCAGCGTTTTCATTTGAAGGCCCTCAGAAATGGAACCGTTGACCATCTGCATACAAATCATAACAGATCCTGGAGGTGGAACAAAAACAGGGCTGTGGACACTGGTGTAAATCAGCCTGCTGTGCTGTGGCTGGATAACATGCCATTTCTAACATGCATCTCCTGTGTGTGTGTGTGTGTGTGTGTGTGTGTGTGTGTGTGCGCGCGCGCGCGCGCGCATGCAGACTCATTGGATTGATCTTTGCTGTATCCCTTTAAGAACGTCCAACCAGGGACTGTGCTTGCAGATGTGCTGACTGCAGATTTCCCCAACACTATAAACAGTTCATATGCATAATCGAAACTAGGACAACCGGTGAACAGTGGCCTTGGGAACAGTGGCCTTGGGAACAATGGGAATTTTAGCTCCTTAACATGTGCCACCCTCTTTTTAAAGGGACCAAAAGTAATTGGACATTTGACATTGGCAGGTGTGGGCAATTCGTTCTTTATGTCATTATCATGTAAGCAGATAAAAGGCCTGGAGTTGATCTGAGGTGTTGTGCTTGCATGCTGTCAAAGGAGCTCTCCATGCAGGTGAAACAAGCTGCGAAACAGGAGAACAGACCAAAAACCATCTGAGAAGGTAACACAACAGGGCTAAATCTACAGTTTGGCATATCCTGAGAAAGAAACTGACCATGAGCACCACAGCCACTGTGCACTAGTCACTGGTCTGTACTTTAAATCCATCACGTTATGTGTTTATCCTGCATTGACCTGTAGTGCAGCGTTTTCATGCACACTTTCAATAACACAAAGTTAGCGAGCTGTGTCTGTTTGTTTTGCAGCATGTTTCACAATATGAAAAACATAATGTCACATGTACACATCCAGTAGCTGATTTAAAAACACAAGTGTTTACATGTAAGCTTTCAATTTCCAGTTTATCAAAACGACTGGACAGGCGTTGCCTTTAAATCTAAGCTCTCTTCTTCCTGTCCTGGCTTTCTTATCTTCCTCCATCTCTGAGTGAAGTTGGCTCTTTCTTTTTTCTCCCAGCCAGATTCAGCAGCTGGACCTTTCGCTGCAGCACACTGTGTATAAAACTGCACACAAACAGTTTGTGTGTTTGCTGTGTTTATAGAGCCGATAGAAACGTTGGATTTAAAATTGCATGCCAATTAAAAAAAACATCTCTGCCTATATGCTCACTCATTTTTTTGTAGATGCTGAAGTACAGCAACCAAAATGTATGAACATGTGCAGCTGTGCCTAAAGCCCCACTGACCCACGCCGACCTTGGCTATAGCTCTGCTTTTCCTCTTTCAGTCCGTTTACCATTTGAAGACACAATACAGTCTAATCATTAAATCTGAATACTGAATGCAGAATTACATGAAAAAAAACGTGTTACCTAAATAGGACGTGATGTTGCTGGAAAGACAGATGTCATTAGATGGAAAGGCCACAGAATCCAGTGGGATTAAATGGGAATGAAATGCTGGCTGATGTACCTACCAGTCAAAAGTTTGGACACACCTACTCATTTAATGGTTTTTCTTTATTTTTACTACTTTCAACATCGTAGACACAAACTGAAGACATCAAGTATATGAAGCCAGATATATGGAATTACGTATCAAAGAAAAATCAAAAATAACTCTAAATAAGTCTTATATTTAAGATTCCTGAAAGTAGACACCCTTTGCTTTGTTGACAGCGCTGCAAACCCTCGGCCTTCTCTCAGTGAGCTCCATGATGTCGTCACCTGAAATGGTTTCACCTCACAGGTGAGCCTGTCAGGGGTCATTGGTGGGATTTCTTGCTTTCTTAATGAGGTTGGGACCATCAGTTGTGTTGTGCAGAAGTCATGATGGGACACAGCTGACAGCCGTATTTGAAATCCCATCTGGTTTGCATTTAGTTGGACCATCATTTATTTTATTTTTGACAGGACAATGAGTCCAAACACACCTCCAGGCTGTGTAAGAGCTATCTGACCAAGAAGGAGAGTGATGGAGTGCTGACCAGGTGATCTGGCCTCCACAGTCACCTGACCTAAACCCAATGGAGATGGTTTGTGATGAGATGGAGCTCAGAGTGAAGGCCAAAGGCCCAACAAGTGCTCAGCGTCTCTGTGAACTCCTTCAAGACTGTTGGAAACCATTTCAGGTGATGACCTCATGAAGCTCAGAGAGAGAACGCCAAGAGTGAGCAAAGCAGGAATCAAAGCAAAGGGTGGATGTTTAGAAGAATCTAAAATATCAAACATGTTTTGAGATATTTCACACTTTTTTGTTTACTACATAATTCCACATGTGTTCATTCATTCAGTTTTGAGGCCTTTGGTGAGAATCTACAATGTAAACAGTCGTGAAAATAAAGAAAACCCATTAAATCAGAAGCTGTGTCCACACTTTGACTGGTAGTGTATAATAAATATTAGCCTGTAGTCGGTATTCATTAGTGACTTGGTCTTATGAAACAGAAACATTAGGTTTTTGCTTTTAATTCAATCTGATATGTTAAATATATGCTAAAATCTGTGTTTAAAATATAAAGTATGTAATAATGTAGTAATACTAATCGTCACATCAAAACATTTGCAACATAGTTTGTTTGATACATCCTGATTGCATTATTTGTAACAACCAGGACAGGAGCGAGGGAGGAGAGTAGAGGAAATTAAGAGTGCAGCAGATTGATGAGACGCCAGGTGAAGGTGAGGAAGAGGTGAGTACCCAAAAGACCACACACAGGTAACAGTTTAAAATGGCCATTTTGGCAGAATAGAAGCAGATACGTTGAGACCAGAGCTGGTAAAGCTTAAATATGCATGTAACTACTTCATCGAGCTTTACGCTGCTGCTTAAAATAAAAAATAGTAACAAAGCTGAAGAACTCTTACTGCACTGATAGTTAATCGTAGTATCATTCTGTGACAGGCAGCTACACACATCTTACTTCAGCCTTTAGGTAGCACTCTGTGTGTGAATTTTTAAATATTTATTTAACTGTAAAATTGTCCCGATTCGGCTGTGGTCAGGCAGGAAGAGGACCCAAAATGCAGGACGCGCAACACACAGGAATGAACTCAGAAAAACGCTGCTTTAATAACAGAACTAAACTAGACTGGGAAACCAAAACCTAAAACTCCACACCAGGGATCACACAGCATGAGGGAGGACGCGACACTGACACAGAGAAACACAGGGCTTAAATACACTGGGGCATAACGAGGGGAATAAGACACAGGAGGAGAGCACAGCTGGAAGAAATCAGACACGACGAGACCAAAGGGAAGCAAAACTAGAAACACTGACATGAGACACGGACCTTCAAAGTA